AAAAAAAACGGGCTTGGGCTTCAGCCCAGGCCAGGCCAATGCTGAATCCATCCCTGCCAAATAATTTTGGTTTTTACTAATAATGGAATTTTTTTTTGAAATTTTTTGGTTTCTCCCGCTCATGATTTTTTTTTGAAATATTTATAATTTTTGAAAGTAACATAATTTATCTTTTTTTAGTAGATATTCATTTCATCTTATCTTGATGTTCATGTTTATCTCAATTCTATTCCTGTTTTTTTTTTTTAAAATTATTTCTTTTTTTTTTGTGGGTATTGTTTTCATTTTAATATTCTTAATTAGATAATTAGAACTATTAACAATGGTAAAAGTAAAATAAATTGTCTGAGTATCCTATTCTAAATTCTTCCTATGAAGTATGACATTTTTTTTTCTATATTCCTTTTTTCTTTTCTAATATTACGTCTTTTTTCCTTTTTTTTACACTTTTAAATTTCGATTCTTAATATGTTGGAATATTTTTCCTATTTTCATTTTAACATTTATTATATATAAATTAAATATTCATCAATCTTTCCAAAAAATAAGAATCACCTTACTAAATTAAAAAAGAAAAATTCTAAATACTACTTAATTTAAATAATCTCAAAACTTTTGAGAGTACTCGAAAAAGAATTTGGAATTATAGGATAATTACAAATCATAAACTTAGCAAATAAAGTATATATTATAATATCGTATTGAAATCAAATACTTCATCATGTAGTTATGTTTTCAAACATCTCTAAATTTTTTTAAATCTATGTATATGTAATTACAATAAAATAATAAGTCAATCATTCACCTTTTTATTTTGTGCTCAGTAGATTTGACAATAAAATATATACTTTTTAACTAAAACTTTTTTGATTGCATATCATGCTTAAAAAAAAATATATCAATAGATAGTTAATAATAATAACTAAATAAATATTATTATGAGATAGAACAAATTTTAAAAATGAATAGAATATATATATGGTACAATATTTATTTTGATATTTTTTAAATATTTTTAAATTAAATAAATAAATAAATAATATTATTGCATATTAAATATTTATCATTATATATATAAAGAATTCTACTTTTATAAGTGTTAATAATAATAATAATAATAGTAATAATAATAATAATAATAATAATAATAATAATAATAATAATAATAATAATAATAATAATAATAATAATAATGACATTATACGATAATAAACTTAAAAAAAATAATAATGATATCGTGCGCGTCCGACCTCGCCGGTAGGACGGCGCAAAAAATAAAATAAAATAAAATTATTTACAAAGTAAAATAAAAAAAATACATGATCAATCTTTAATGTCTTGCTGATGTCATGGTATTTTTTTAGCATTTTTTTGAAATTTTTTGACGGTCAAAAGAGCCGTATAAAATCAAGGAAAAGAGTAGAAAGAGAGTAGTGAAGGGCAAAAACGTAATTGGGGGGAGGCGGTGAGTAGTAATAGGATGCTATAAATAACAATTCTCATAACAATTTCATCACTGGACTAAATAAAAAATGGTAAATGGCAGTTTCAGTACCGGACTAAGGGGTATTTTCAAATTCAGTACCCACATTCACCCGTACTTTTATTGCACATGGCCGAATTTTTTATCCCGCCAACAAGGCTACACGCATACGCCAACTCATCCCACGTCATATGTATCTTTATCCTAATCCTAAGGATGGCAGCGGTTCGGGTTCGGATCGGATGGAACCTCAGGGCACCCAAAACCAAAACCCAAACTTAAAAACCAAAACCAAAACCAAAACTGTTTCGGGTGAAAATCCTTCACCAAAACCAAAACACGCGGATACCCAAAAACCAAACGGATACCCAAAAAACCAAAAATATTATAATAAAACACCAAAGACAACAACATAAAACATGATAACTTAGAGAGTACCAGGCAACCAGTCACAAATTAGCAAGTACCAACGTACAGTACAAGCCATAAAGGTAGTAGAGTACATAGCTAAGCCAAGCCATCACGGGAGACGGGGAGAGGATAAGAGGGAGAAGAAATTTTCACTTATATAGCTAGAGTTTTTGGTAAACTTTTTAATGGGCCGTCTATTTTGGGCACCCAACGGAGCACCACGGGCGAAATATAGGATCCGCACCAAAACCGAAGACTTTCGGGTACCCGAAACCGCAAAACCGTGGGTGAAATTTGAGAACCAAAACCGAAAACCGCAGAACCAAAAACCGCGGATATCCGAACCGAAACCGAACCGCTGCCATCCCTACCTAATCCTATTTAATAAACGAGAGATAAATTGAATAACCAATCTTATCCTATCTTATCAAGGCTAATAAAAGAGGCTTTTTTCTTAAATCTTAATGCACAGAATAATGACTCTTATGAATGGAAAGAAGTTTGTAGTCAGCAGCAGCAGCACAGAGTTAGAGCAATGGAGTTCGACGAGGACGCTCCACTCGCCCAATCATTCAAGCGAAAGAGAAAACCTATCCGGAAGAAAAAACACCCCGAGGCCCGGCCCGAAGAACCCCCCGCAGCGGCCCGCGATCCCGAATTGCCTTCCACAGTTGAACCTCTACCGGAAAGTGTAGTATTCGACTACTCCGTCGAGACTCACTTCAAAGCCGTGGATAAGATAGCTAACCTCTGTGGATATTCTGAAACACTCGACTCTAATCAACCGGAAATCGAACGGTTCTCCAATTCTATAACGTTCCTGAGAGAGTGGAGAGATTTTAAATATGCTCCACGAACTGTGAGGTTTGCTAATCAGCACAATTCAGAGGAGAAAGAAGTAACTGGTGAAGTTACCTTGCATCAATTTTGTGCCACATCTGTTCCCAAGAATGAACCTGGAAAGAGGAGCGAAGCCGACTTTGTAATGAATGTTGGGGGTTTAGTCTGGGCACTAGACTGGTGTCCTAGAGTTGATTCTAATTTCGAGAATCGGATCACGTCTGAGTTTGTTGCTGTTGCTGCTCATCCGCCTGAATCTTCTTCATATCACAAGATTGGTGCTCCTCTTGCAGGCAGAGGTGCCATCCAGATATGGTGTTTGTTAACTCCCCCTGTAAGAGACGATTTAACTAATCAAGGGAAGAAGTCGAGACGAAAACCCCAGAAAAAGTTGATAGTTGTTAAATCTGATGATCCAATTGAACCACCGAAACCAAGAGGACGACCAAGAAAGACACCTCTTGATGGTTCTGTACAACTGAGGTTAAGAGGGAGACCTAGAAAGAACCCTCTTGACGACGACTCTGTACCATCGAGGCCAAGAGGGAGACCTAAAAAGAATGTTCTTGATGTGTCTATGGGGAAAATTAATATGGATGAACAATGCGTTCAACCTCTTGCTATTGAATACCCCACGAGCTCAGCTGGGTCACGTTTGCCAGATAAGGCAATAAAAAAGGACGAGGTTCGTAATAATGGTCTGATTATTCCCAGCCAATGTGAACATGAAGAAACTGCAAGCTTCAGTCTGGATTCCCCAACTTGTACAAGTGCTTGTGATGCCAATACTTCTACCAGCATCATTCCCTTTGATGTGGCATTACCTAGAATGATGTTATGTTTAGCCCACAATGGGAAGGTTGCATGGGCTGTAAAGTGGCGGCCAGTCAGTGCTCATCACCTTGAATCCATGCATGTAATGGGTTATCTAGCTGTGTTGCTTGGAAACGGTGCACTAGAAGTGTGGGAAGTCCCTCTTCCACATACTGTGAAACGTGTATATCCTGCTTGCGAGGAGCATATTGATCCACGCTTCATCAAGTTGAAGCCGGTATTTAGATGTTCAAAGCTGAAGTCTGGTGATAGGCAAAGTATTCCTCTAACAATGGAGTGGTCTGTGTCACCTCCCAACGATATGATTTTGGCTGGATGTCACGATGGAGTGGTTGCTTTGTGGAAATTTTCAGTTACTGATTCAGCGACAGAGACCAGACCTATGCTTTGCTTCAGTGCAGAATCATGTCCAATCAGAACCCTGGCATGGGCACCGATTCAGAGTGATCTAGAGACTGCATATGTATTTGCTGCTGCTGGTAATAAAGGTCTCAAGTTTTGGGACATACGTGATCCATTTCGTCCACTGCGGGACTCTTCTACTCAGGGGGGCGCTTTTGATGTGGATTGGTTGCCTCATCTGAGATGTGTTTGTGGAGTCAATGATGATGGGACATTCTGGTTTCTCAACTTTGAGAAAGCCGCACAGGATATTCCGGTTACTGGAAAATGCTTGACGGCATCAAGGTCGGTTTTGAGCAGTTATGACTGTTCCTCATTCTCAATATGGAGCCTCCAAGTTTCTCGCCTGACAGGTGCAGTTGCCTATTGTGGTGAAGAAGGATCAGCCTTTTGCTTCCAGCCGACGAGTAAATCAGTGAAGGATACACGAAACCGCGTGCATCATTATCTTTGTGGGTCGTTATTCGAAGAGGGAACTGCCCTTATTGTAGCAACTCCATCGACTAATAGCTCGGTTTTGAAAAGAATCCCAGGCACGAAACGTCCTGGGGGAGGAGCAGCAAAAGATCATGAGAACAGAGTGAAGGATCAAATGGTTATTTCTGGAAACAATTCTGTTGAAGAGCAAGGATCTGAACAAAACTCAGATAAAAGTAAACCCGATTTTGAAATATTCCCTCCGAAAATTGTGGCGATGCATAGGGTGAGGTGGAACATGAACAAAGGCAGTGAAAAGTGGTTGTGCTATGGAGGAGCTGCCGGTGTCCTACGCTGTCATCAGGTCGATTTATCCCTTCTCCAGTAACTACTGTGGGCCCACACAATTTGTTGTACTGTAGTCACTAAGAAGGTCCTTGTTTTGCCCTTTTAGAATTTTTTTTCCCCGAGGACTAACCTGGCCACCAAAGTGATGACGACATTAGTTGCTGTATTCAGATACTGGTGATTTATTCAACGTAAATTTTTCCAATAAGAAAAAAAAATAAAAAAAAATACCTGAGATATACCTTTGACATGCTAATGTTTAATTTCATGTGTATGCTTGTATGTGTATTGTTCTATTTGATCAGATAATGGAGCCTCCTAGGAAAGCTTATAACATCATGAGTAAGATGGAGTATCCATACGAGGTCCTAGTTAATCTTCTGTTGCCTCTTTATTAGACATATCCAGGGCATGATTTTTCTTATTTCTTTGCTGCTTTTGCTCGGTAAGAATCGTTAAATGTCAAAGTTTTTGCATGTACAAGAAGTTGAGAAGTCTCTATACGAGATGCATTGAAATGAACATTGGAAACAAGTAACTTATCTTTCTTTTTCTTATCCAGAGAAAGCAACGCAGACGAGGATTATGGCCGTTCTAATTGAGCATCGTCAATGAAACCGTGTACAATTTCCTTTGCATTGCCCTAGTTTAATCGTAAAAGCACCTTATAGTTTCTTCTAGTATAAGTAGGGGTCGCCAATTTGCTACTCTATATAACCTTCTTTTGCTTGAAAATATATTTGTATGCTTTTCTTTGCTCAAGCTGCAACTAACGCATTAATATCATTAAAGATGTTAAACGAGCTAGTCCTAATGAGTTTTCGGCTAAAAGATTCCGTTAAATGAAAGCTTGGATTGAAACTAGCTATGATATAGGAACCTAACATTAGCTTCACACTTGCATTAAACCATATATAGTCCAATTTTTTCACCAAGAATTTATAAGTTACACCTGATCTAGTTGGAGGAGATAATATATTTACAGTGTCCTTGATTTTATAGCCAAGTAACAAATACAAAGATGGAAATATAGTCGCTTTTTGTGTGGACGTATGAATAATAGTCATTTTGCCCTCTGCAATCACACAATTATCCTTCATTTTGAACCTTTGAATGGGTCTTTTTTCTTCAATAAAAATGGTGAGATTGGGATGGATAATAGTATTGATGGTTGAGTGAAAGCTTGTTTTTTTAATATGTTTCTATTTTTTTTTTTTTATTCTTGGTTTATTGTTATCTGAATAATGAGGAGAACTTTTCTCATCTATCTTTTTTTTTTTTTTTTTTTTTT